CCAACATTTCTGTGTGCTTCGGTGGGCATGGGGCTTCCACTGGGATCTCTGCTGTATCTTCCCCCACAGACAGGGAATCTGAATGTACATCAGGGAGAAATGGAACTCAGGCCGAAGGTCAGGGTCACTGAATGAGAACCTATGAGTCTGGTCCCAGGCATCTGCATTTCTCACTTTTGTGATTACTGATGATTAACTTCACAAAATGTTGAGTTTCAATGTGTAAATATATTTTCATCATATTCCTCCCCCATGACCCTTTGTCACTACCCCATCCCTCTTGCCTTCTTCCTTTCCTGTTGTCAAATAAATTCTCTCTTCTACTTTCATGTCATCTGGTTTAGATTCCCCATATGAGGGTGAACAAGTGATATTTGTCTGTCTTATTTCCCACAGCATATAATCTTCATTTCCATCCATTTTTCTGCAAATGATACAATTTTGGTCTTCTTTGTGGTTGATAATACTTCACTGTTGTGTGTGTGTGTGTGTGTGTGTGTGTGTGTGTGTATACCACATGTTCCTCATCCATTCACTGTTCACCTGTTGATGGAAATCTAGGCTGGTTCAATATCTTGGCTCTTATTAATTGTGACACAATAAGCGTAGATATACAGGTATCCCCATGGTACGCTATCTTTCATTCTTTCAGGTATGTACCAAGGAGTGGTATAACTCCATCACATGGTCACTCTATTTTTACTATTTTATTATTTTGAGGAATTCTGAGGGCCCTGTGAGAGAGTCCAAAGGTCTTCACAAGCAGAATTCCTCAATTTGAAGTCTTTTATGTTTTTGTGGGTTGGTGGAAAACAGATCAGGGATGAAAGTAACAAACAACTTTCAGACACAGCCCAAAACACGGACAGGCCTTGTCACCAATAGGTTCCAAGATGGACATTTAGAGCCCCGAGTGTCCTGCCATGACCAATGGCTATAAAAATGCATGGCGTCTATCCGCACAGTGGACTGTCATTCCTCCCTGAAACAGGGAAGAAACCCTGACCTCCTGCACCAAGGTGGGACCCTAAGGGTGTTGTACTAAGAGGAGAAGAGGAAGACACCCAAGGACAAACGTGGTCTAAATCCACAGGATTGCTGGGCACACAAGGAGTCCACATCTGTCCATTCATAGGACAGAAAGGAGAACACTGGTTCCCAGGGGTTGCGAGACGGGAGCAGGCAGTCATGCTTTCATGAAGTCAGAGTCTACCTGGCCTCGCTCTGGGCCTTGTCTTGGATTTGTTTATCCATTTTTATCCCATCAGGGATCAGACTTTCTGTTCAGGATTTCTTTTGGCGGTGCACAGAGTGGGTGGCTGGACAACAGAAGCAATGGACAGTCATGTGCCACATGTTACATGTTGGCCAGTGACAGACCACAGAGGCAACAGTGATTCATGTGAGATGGTATCTCCATTCCCTCCTAGCCCCACAGCTGGGTGAGTTCACTCTATGAGATGGCTCAATGACAATTTCAAGGAAACACCCATTTCTCAGAACACACCCCTGTCATTATTTATATATGTCTGTGGTAAATATCAATATCAATCAAACCTATCCTGGAAAACAGGTGAACTGTGATGTGCCGGTGACCCAGGCCTCTAATCCCATCCCCCAGGAGGCTGGCTTCTAATCCCTTCACTAGGGAGCTCCAGGCAAGGCACCTTGCATATGTCAGCCCTGCGTGGGTAATAAAGGATTTGGACAGAGCAGAATCTGGATTTTGTGGAGGGGAAGAAGGCCTTTAGTAGAACTCAGGGCCACTCATCCAGCATCTCCCCAGTCTATGAAACAGGGTCCCCAGTCACGTTCCTCAAAGGATATCCCAGAAGTGAGGTTAGATGATAAAATGCCAGGATCAGCAGGTGAGAAGCTGGAAACAGAAGAGATCTGGAGAGGTGACCAGTCAGGAGGAACAGCTACAAAAAATGGAAAGAGGGATGCAGGAGGCACCAAGAGGCCCACACTGAGCAGCTAGGTAAGGAGACCCTAGATGGCAGAAGGGAGCCCACCGTGAGCCAGGAACTCACTCCTGGAGGATGCTGGTCCCATCCCTTCCCTTCTCAGGGCCATGGCGATGACAGAGCTCATGCGGGTCTTAAAATATGCCCCCCACATCGCTTCTCGGCCTTTAGGCTAAGATCAAGTGTAAACTATGCCCCCACTGCCAACAGAAAGCCTAGTTGCAACAGTCCCCGATTTCACAGAGCTCTTGCTAACTTTGTTCAATGCAAACAGTTTCAGCACTAGACACGTGACAGGGTCACAGTCACACCTGGATATGACCCTCAGAGAGTAAAGCACTTGCATGCTTTCTGAGTGTGAGAAAGGTGTATTCATGTGTCAAAGGTGTGTTCAAAGGTCCTAGCCACCCTGATATCTGCTGCCACTCAGGCCGCACTCAGCCGCTTTTCCAGGAGTCAGGGTTCAGCCTGTGTGCCCTGCCAGCTAAAACTCCTTCTAACTCCTCATCTGCCTGCCCAGTTCTCCTCCTTGTTCTCTTGCCCTGTAGGAATTCCTGTGCCAGGACCCAAGCTAACCCTGTAATCTCTTTACAGAGGATCCTGTGGTCAAGAGATTCCTGGCTTGAGATAAGAACCTGAGGGCATCCGATGAGGCTGGGCTCTCCCTGTGGCGCAGCCCATATGATGTTTTGTGTATTTTTTTGCAAATTTTGTTGTTTTTTATTTGTTTTCCATTGAGGCTAATAATACTCCATTGTGGGGAGGCACATTTTCCTTTTTCATTCATCTGTCAATGGCCACCTCGGGTGATGTTTTATCTTGTGAATTTTTCCACAATGAATCTGAGTATGCAGATGTTCCTATGGTATGATAATTCTGCTGAGTATGTACCAAGGAGTGGTACTAGGCATGTGCAGGTTGCTTGTCACTGTGTCTCTGAGGGACACAGGCTAAACAGCTGCCATTCTGAATGCTAATTTTAATCTCCAGCATGTGGGAAGCCAGTTTTTCCAGGACCATTTATTAAAGAGGCTGTCTTCTAGTGAAGGCATTTGGCTCCTTTATCAAAGATAAGGTGGCTGAGTACATCTGGATTGGTTTTTACATCTTCTATTCTGTTCCACTGGTCCTCAGGTCTGTTTCTTTGCCAGTACCATGCCGTTTTTATCACAGTGGCTTTGGACTATAGTTTCAAGTCAGGGTTTGTGATATCCCTGCCTTGCCTTTGTTGTCCAGGATTGCTTTTACTATCCTAGGGCTCTTCTGGTTTCAATCTCAGGATTGTTTTCTGTAATTCTGTGAGATATGCTATTGGTATTTTGATAGGGATTGCATTAAATCTGTATAACAATTTAAAAAGTATGGCCATTTTCACTAGAATGGTTCTTCCTACCCAGGAATAAGGAATATCTTTCCATTTCCTGGTATCCTCTTTGATATCCTTTTTCAGAGTACTGTAGTTTTCAATGTAAAGATGTTTTACTTCCTTCATTAGATTGATTCTTAGGCATTTTATTTCTATTTTTGGATGCTATTGTGTAAGGTGTTGTTTCCCTAATTTATCTCTCAGTGAGTTTTTTATTTGTGTGTAGGAATGCTATTGATTTTTGAATGTTGACTTTGTTTTCAGTTATGCTACTGAATTTGGTTATTAAATGTAGAAGTTTTTTGTGGAGTTTTTGGGGTCTTCTATGTACAGTATCATGTCATCTACAAATAATGATAATTTAACTTCTTCCTTTGCTATCCTTATTCCTTTTTTTTCTCTTATCTAATTGCTCTGGCTAGTGTTTCCAGAACTATTTTTGAATAAGAGTGGTGACACTGAACATCCTTTTCTTGTTCCTGCTTTTAGAATGAAAGCTTTCAGTTTTTGTCCATTTAGTATGATGTCTTTTGTCTTTTTAATTATTTATTTATTTATTTATTTTGCTACCGGGGATCAAACTCGGGACCTTGCGCTTGTGAGGCAGGCGCTGGGACCACTGAGCTAAATCCCCGGCCCCTTTTGTCCTTTTTAAAAATAGCATTTATTTGAGAAAACTCAACATAGCAAAACCTCCTCTATCTCTTTGATTCATATTTAAATTTCTTAAAAAGGTATATGAGCTTCTTGCCAGGATTAGAAATTAGAAACGTTTCTCTGAAATCAGCTCTCTGAATTGTAAACCTCAAGGAAGATGAGCATCCATCCCTCTTTCCCTATGGGCTTGGAGCTTTGTCCTGGCACCTTGCTCTCAGCTGTAGCTGCCTGCTTGTCACACAAAACCTTTTGCTTTTTCCCTAGAGAAAGGTAATGAATCACCTGTATGACCAGGTGATTTTGGAAGGGCTATGAGAATGCAGTGCCAGTCGCAGTCCGGTGCTTTCACCTAGGACGAGTTGCCCTGTGGCCTGAGACCAGGTGTGCAGCGGCGCGGATGTGCAGGGCTGCAGAGAGGTGAGGTTTCTCTCTCTTGCAGCGGCTACTTTAGTGCCTCGCATGTGATGGGCACCAGTCCTGCTTGATGCTTCTTCCATAATGAAACTGTTTTCTTCATTGTCTGCATTCGTGCAAATGATTTTCTGAGTTGGAAAGCGATGACATTATCAGTCCCCACTACCAGCAGCTTTTAAGAAACCACTGGGCAGGGCTGGGGATTTAGCTCAATGGTTCTGCTGCTTGGCTCGCAAGCGCAAGGTCCCAAGTTTGATCCCACGTACAAAAAAAACCCCCCCCAAAAAAACCCCAACAAAACCCCACTGGACAAAAGCATTGCTTTACTATTTCACCTTCCAAAACGAAGCGATCAACAACAAAACCAAAAACAAAAACGAAGCGATCAATCATTGTCCATATGGTGTCATTTTCTAAAACTGACACTTGTACCTAACAATAAACAAACTTGGCGAGGTCAGATCACAGGCATCTGTTTTCTTCTGGCCTGTGTTTTCTGATTCTTCTTTGACAGTTTGTGAGCATTGGTTGTGTGATCTAGATATGCTAAAATTTATTCTCTTCCTTCTTTAGAAAGCATCGCTGAGCATTTGTTGTTCCCTAGTGTTGAGGGAAGCGTCTGGTAGCATTTCAGTTAACGGAATTTGAGGCACTCTCCTTTCCGTCCGTTTGTTAGAATCTTGGTTTTAACCGTAAAATTGCAGCCGTTGAGAGGGCTTGGGTTCTAGCTAGTACGCAGTAGCTACGGTAAGTGACTGGAGACAAATGCAGACGAGCGCGGAGCTCCAGGCAGCCTCTGGGCCCAGGATAGCACCTGCGTACACTGTTCCCTAAATCGGAGGCACTTAGCCTTTCGGGAAACAGAGTCCGGGTAACTTTTGGGGAACAGAGGCCATCCTTTTTTTTTGATCCCATTATATATCCTTTTTTTGATAGGTGTAACACTGCTTTGCTGTTTTAGTAGGTGCTTAGGATTTACAGTGTGCAATGTTAACTTTATCATATTTCATCTTCAAGTACTATGTAGATCATTCCGCCTACAATATAAGAAGCTTACAATAGGATATTTCCATTTCTCCCCCAACCTTGGTTTTCATACTGTTGTTGCATATGAACTTTTACAGATGTTCTCAATGCCACAACTGTAAGTTAAACAGCTCTCTGGTAATGAGAGAAAATACGTAGTCCTCACTTCTCATCCTCTCCTTTCCTTTGTGCAGATCCCCAATTTGCTGTCTTTTTACCTCTGCCTGCAGGACTTTCTTTAACATTTCTAGTTGGTGAGTATTTCTCTGAGCTCTTTCGTGCCTGAAAATTTACCCAATAAATTTTCATCTCAGATATTAGCATTTTCTTGTAGAAGTTCAATTTGAAACCTTTTCTACCTTGCCTGACTGGACTCAAGTTTTTTGAACTTAGGGAATACAATCACAAACTTTTTTTTTTTGGTGCTGGGAATTGAACTCAGGACCTTGCGCTTGTCAGCCAGGTGTGGCCCACGCCACTGAGCTAAATTCTGTCCCCAGTCACAAATTTTCAATGTTCTCTGCTAATTGTAACGTCTGGGTATCAACTGTGTCCATTCCAGACAAGTTTTGACTAACTGATTCTTTTCTCTGTAGGTCCTGTTTTCTGTCCTATTTCCCAATTTCTCAACTCTTTCCCTTCACTTATCACTCTTCCCCTTCCTTGGAGTTTCTAGAAACTCTTAGGCAATAGCTGTAGGGCTTTGCTAGTTTCCCATCTCTCATGAATTACCATCTTTCACTACCTGCTGGTTAGTGTTCTTGAAAACCAATCTTTGTATATTTGTCGTGTGTGTGTGTCGGTCATAGCTGAAAACAGAAATCCTAACATGCCTATATTTACATACGTGAGTCACACTTGGAAAGCCTTTCCCCACATCAGAGTTATGGAGATAGCCACCTGTTCTTTTTCTGTATGGTTGAACTTTCCACATGTTCTTTTGTGGTATAAGGTATGGATGCAGTTTTGTACCCATTCAGGTGCTCATCACCTGCTTTTGCAGCATTGGTATTAAGCTTTGCCTTAAAACAATGACATACCAGAGGCAGCAAATATAAAGGGGAAAGGTTTGGGCTGGGGATTTAGCTCAGAGGTGCCACTGCCTGCCTCGAAAGCACAAGGTCCTAAGTTCAATCCCCACTACTAAAAAATAAAGTGGAAAGGTTTGTTTAGCTTGAAGTCTTGGCGTTCAAGGTTGTGATGCTGACAACAGCTTTGTTCCTGACTGTGTCACATCATGGTAGTGGTGCATATGTGTGAGAGCTTACATCACCAAACAGAAGTCAGAGGCACTGGTGTTCCACACTCCTTTCTCCTGTTTTGTTTTTTTTTTTTTGGTTTTGTGAGATGAGGTCTTAGTATGTAGTTCAGTCTAGCCTTGCACTCACTGTATAGCTTAGGCTGGCCTTGAATCCATTGCTATCATCCTCCCTCAGCCTCCTGAGTGCTAGGATTACTAATTATGGCACCATACCAGCTCCCCCAGTCCCTTCTGAGGGCACACTCCCAATGATCTAAGGACCCTTCACTAGGTCCCGCCTCTCAACCGTGCCACCACATCTCCTAACAGTGCCATCTTGGGGACCAAGACTTCAATCCCAGTGGACTCTAGGGTGCCGCTTAGATCACACCCAAAACATAACACCATTTACTAAAAGTCAGTTCTATTTCAGTGATTTGAGATGTCCCCATCATCATAGAATGCTAAAAGTCATTTCTTGTTTCACCATTCTGTCTAGAACTTTTATTTTTGGAGGAGTGTTGAAATTAAACAGTACATAGGTAAGTGACTTAGGGTAACTGATGTCTTTGTGTTATGTTGATCTACCCAAGAGCAAGGAATATTACATTTGTTCATGTTTATTTCCATGACTCTGTATTTTAAAGTTTTCCTGGTAGAGATTTTGTGTATTTCATGTTAAGAGTTTTCTCTCGATTATTACAAGTCTTGTGTACATTTGAATTATATCTTCTTAGTCTCATGTAAGGAAAGCTATCGGTGTGTTGATTTCATATCCTGTGACCTGCAGTTGTTTTGTTGAGTTAATTTTCATCATCTCTTTTGTGAGTTTTTATATCATCAGCAAATAGATATACTTTTTCTTTATCAGTTATATTCCTCTGGTTGTTTTCTCTTTTCTAATTGAAGATGATGTGCATTTTCCTTGTCCAGATTTTAGTGGGAACATCTGTAGTGTTTCCCCATTTCCTGACTTCAGAACTGAGGTATAAATATGTGTGTGTAAATTTTTTTTTTTTGGTACCAGGGATCGAACTTAGGACCTTGCACTTGCAAGGCAGGTGCAGCACCACAGAGCTACTGTAAGACCGTGTGTCTCACCAGACGCTCTGAGGAGCTGACTACAGCGAAGATCACCCGGGAGGGAACACACTGGACAAGTTGTTAAAGTAAAACAGACCTTTATTAGTCCGGCCAGACGGCACTCTCCAAGCACCAAGCTTAGAGAGGCGAGAGGCTCAGAGTCTGAGGCTGTTTTTATAGGGGGTCGCAGGGGAAGTTGGCAAGCAGAAATACAAAAGTGGAGGAGAGAGATAAAACAGACCTTTTATAGATTGTCCTTAAGATAACATATTCAGATACGGAGTTGGGCAAGCATGACGGAACACGACGCACACAACAGACCTTCCTGGCACCACAACAAGCACATCCCTGGAACTCGATGTCTACCTGGTGATCCGTAACAGAAGCAGACAAGTTGGGGCCCTATTACAAAGATGGAGTAACTGTTGTTCAGTCTTACACTACATCACTGGCCCCTTGTGTGTGTAAATTTAACAACATGTATATATGTGCTTGCCAGTGATTGAGATATATATGTATGTGTGTCACGTATACAGGTATATACAGATCATAAATACTGGGCATGTTAAAGTGTCAAAATGTATGCATGTATTGATGTTACTGAAGTATCCATCAGTTGCTATTTTTTTGAGTTCTTTCAAAAATCAGGTATGCCAGGCCCGGGATCTAGCATAGCACTAGAGCTCTTGCATAACATTCACAGGGCTCTGGGCTGGGGATTTAGCTCAGTGGTTCCACCGCCTGCCTGGCAAGTGCAAGGTCCCGAGTTTGATCCCTGGTACAAAAAAAAAAAAAAATCAGACCCCCCCCGCAAAAAAAACATTCATAAGGATCTGAGTTCAATCCCCAGTACCATAAAGAGGAGAGAAGAAAATAAGAAGGGAAAGTCATGTGTGCTCTTTTAATATTGTCAGGCTTTTTTTGGTACCAGGGATCGAATTTGGGTCCTTGCGCTTGCGCAGCAGGTGGTGAAACCACTGAGCTAACTCCCCGGCCCTTAATATTGTCAGGCTTTTCCAAGTGCATTTGGAAATATAAATGTTTTCTTCTTACCTGTATGGTACTGGCCTGTTCTATGTATGGCTTTCCACACATTAGTCTAAATTCTTAAGTTGTATTTGGCTATTATGCATTCTATTTTTATGTTTAGTATTGGGCTCTGTTTGCTATTATTTTATTTGGGCTGTTTGTAAGTAATACTGGCATGCAACTTTACATGATTTATTGATTAATCAGTCTTCTAAGCCCCACAACCTTCTGTTTTCTTGGCTGCCTTAGCTCAAGGTATTCCTTTCTTTCTTTTTCTTTTTTCTTTTTTGGTACTGGGGATTGAACTCAGGGACTCGCATTGCCAGGCGGGCACTGTGCCACTGAGCTACAACCCTGGCCCTCGGGTTATTCCTTTCTGTCGATGAGTTTCTCAGCTCATTTCTGGCCTGTGGGTGGTCATGTATGTTCTGCCCAAGGGAGCAGCTCTACCTTTGTTGTCTCAGGGAATCTTGTGTGGGGCCATGTGCAGTTGTTCTGTCTGTGATGTCCATTGGCACTGGTGCATCCTGTATGGATAATAGGATGCTGCAGTACAATCATTGAACATTTACCTTTTTCACCTATAAGGAAGATGTTTGCAGTGCCAGAATCTGCTTACTGCAGCAGCCCTGAAAGCTTGGTCTTGCTGATATTTCACTGTGGTACATAAGCCATTTTCTTAGGTAACAAACTGTCTTGCTTTTCTGAAAATGACTTTCTCTTGTCTTTATGCATAAATATGAGCTTGTCTTTATATACAGTTTAGGTTAAGGCTCTCTTCTTTCAAAGTTGTGGGCAGTTTTCCATTGTTTTCTATCAGATGGAAAGTCTAATGTCAGTTGCCAGGGTAAGTAGTGTTTTCTTTTTTCCCTCTTTTCTGTTTTAGATATTTTATCAGGAAGTTGGTGGATCTCTACCTGATTCCTCAGGGTTTATGTTGTAAATGAGAGGACCCTTGTGGATGTGGAAGCTTGCCAGCATCTTCAGGTCAGGTGTCATTTTTATCCTTGGATTATTTTTTGTTCATCTTCCATGTTCCCAGTTTCTGAAAATGGTATCTGTTGGATCTGACTTTGTGTCCCAAATCTGCTTTCATTGTTTCCATCTCTTATTTGGTGGGAGACTTCCTGAGCTAATATTCTCTGTCCCATTTGTTAATCAGTTCTCTTGAGGATTTGTAAACACAATACTACAATCCAGTCTAATTTCTCAGGATTTTGCAGTGGCTGTTTCTGAGCACAGTGTTCTCACTTTATGGAAGCAATATCCTGCTGAATTCATTTAAAAATTTGAGTCAGTGCCTCCTATATCCCAGCTCCTTGGTAGGCAGAGGTCAGAGGATTGCAAATTTGAGGCCAACCTGGATAGCTTAGGGAGAACTTGTCTCTAGAAAAGAAAGGAGAGAGAGAGAGAGAGAATGAAAATGAATTAGTAGAAAAAAATTTAAGTTATGTTTCTTTATGAATTTTATTCTATCAATGTTGAGTTATGTCTCTTTTATTTATGCTGTTTTCCTCAACTAACTGATGACTCTTGATTTTATATTACACTTTGTGAGAAAGTAATTATAGTAAGTCCCTGACTTACAAACATCTGAGTTGCAAACGTTCACAGGTGTACTGTGTAAGACTCACTTTGTCTGCTTATGAACAAATCTGACTTACTGAACAATTCTCCTAGAATGGAACTTGTTTTTAAGTTGGGGGAATATACAGTATTCAGATGATCACCCTGCTTGTGGCCTCTTTTCTTTATGAAGGTGACGGCAGCAAAGTCCAGAGGTAAAGAGGACACTGTATGTCCTTAGATGGGGATGGATTCATTTGGAGAAGTTTCAACTTGGCGAGTAAGTTTATTTGCTCAAGTTGCTTTGCGTTGCAAATGATTTTCTGAGAATTTGTCTTTAAGGAAAAATAATCTATGTCTAATGTGGATAGGGTTGAATATGTGTGTGTCTTACTTTGCTGGTCAGGAGCACAATGAGCAAGGAGCTGGCCCCTGGGTTGGCTCCCAGGAAAAACAGGTGGGCCGCCTCTAGCTTGGGATCCCGTCAGTTCTGTGCAGCAGTCCTGAGGACCGGACCAGCATGGAGAGTACAAGGCTGCCCAGAGCCCTTGTGAAGGTGCCTCCCACCAGAGGATGAAGACAGGCCCCCTGTGCAGAAGCGGAGGATGACTCCTGTCCCTGCCAGGCAATGCAGGTGACACCATCATCTCCCTGCCTCCATCCTTGCCCTTCCCTGCAGCGTGTTCTCTGCACACTCCTGACTCCCCTCCAACGTGAGGAGTACCAGGGGGAGGGTATGTGGGTTTCTCTGTGTATTCATCCCTCTTCCTCCCAAGTGACCAACACTGGGTACATGAATTCCGACAGCAGTTCCTAGACCTCCCTTCCCACTGTATCAGGTTCCTTGGCATAGAGAAGTCAAAAAACTCAGACATGTCCTTGTGTGTGTGAGTCTTCCTCCAACTCCAGTGGCTACTCCCACTTTCTCTTCTGGCCAGAGGACAAATGTGGGAGGCTGGGGTCACCTCTGGGAACTGAGTCAGACCAACCCCTCTGTCCCCCATGGTCCTCTTCCTGTTCCTTCTCTGATTGTGAGGATCAGTGCTTCTCTTCCTTCCTCTCACTTTTTCTGCTTCCTCTTCCTCCTCCTCTTCCTCCTCTTCTTCTTCCTTCTCTCTCTACCCCCTAGAGGACTGAAGCAGGAAATAGAGTGCTAACCAAGGGACTAGATCAGAAAGATCAGGCAGCTCCTTCTGGGCAAATGTCCGTCATCTTCTTCTGGCCATAGGCCTGAAGCTACATGCTGGGTGCTATCCATAGGCTGAAGAAATGAAACTTAGGTTGGGTGTGAAGCCTCTGTCTTTGAAGTTGAGCTGTTGATCATCTGAGCCCAACCCTGGCTTCCCAAAACACAAAACTCTTCACCGTTGTCCCCTCCAGAGCCATTGTTTCATCTTTAACCTTTGCTGATCTCTATTTCCTCCCAGTTTTCCTTGTTGTCACCCCTTCTTCCCTTGCTATAAACTCTCCCTCTGGTAGATGCACCTTCTCCCATATAGCTGGGACCTGTGCTTGAGTCACTTCTGCCCGATCCATTCTTGGATCTCATCTTCTCTTCCCTTGCTCTGCAGGTTTTCTATCCATTGACCATTTTTGTCCCGTCCTTTCCCACTCCCATCCCCGACTTCCCAATTTTCTCCTTTCTCCTTCTGTAGCCCTTCTTCATTACTGGTCACCTTCTCAGACCTCTTCTGTCTTCAGCCCCTCAGCTGATGGTCCTAGGATTTCATCATCCCCTCCACTTCCAGGCCGTACCCACCCTGAGGAGCAAGGATGGGGATTCTGGTCCCAGACTTGGAAGAATGTTGACAAGTGGTCATAAGTTATCACAGATGCCTTCTTTCACTCCACAAAAGACAGACTTTGATCTGTCCAAACCCAGCTTTGCCTTAGTCTGGGCTTATATATATGCAGTGTGCCTGCCTGGCACTCCCAGGGTGATAGGATTCCAGGTGGGGTCACCGTGCCAAGCTCTTTTTAACCCTTTTAAAGGGTAGGCTTGATTAGCATTGAGACCAGACATGAGGAAGTAATGATGGAGATGTGTTCTGAGAAATGGGTCTTTTGCTGACATTGCTATCGCACAAACATCCTACACTGAACTCCTCACCCGTCTGTGAGAGCCGGAACATCAGTGGGCGATGTCATGTCATGGACCCACCATTGTATACGTGGTGCCTTGGCTGAAGTGTCCTCTGTGGGACAGGACTGTACATTTACTGTGTTGTGCAGCCATCCGCACTGCTCCGTGAGGCACTGACAACCACGTCCTGATTTCTACCTTCGTGTCTATAAGGGCTTCTACTTTCATCTCTTTACTTGCTCTGCTTGCCCTCCCTGCCTGTCTCCCTGCTTTACAGACTCATCAGACTTAAAGCTTCTTTCACATTTCAGCCCTTCCCATACCCTTAACCCCTACTTCCTTCTTTAGCCCTATTTACGTCTTCTCTGTCTGCCTGCTTTATAGTCTTATTTCCTTTGGCACAGGAGTTGCTTCCAGTCGCTCTTCTCCGCAGCTGCTCCCATCCCCTAAGGTGCTTCTCTGCAGCCATTCAGCATCCATGCTGTTCGCCCTTTCCTTGCCACCTCCCATCTGTTTGATAGTTTTCACTCTCCCGGCCATCTCCCCTTGCTCAGAACTTGCTCCTATATCCTTATTTCTTTCTAGCTGTATACATTTTTCTAGATTTTTCCACCTGTTGTGTAAATTAGGAATTACAGGTTGTGAGAAAACTCCTCAGAAAACAGACTGGAATAGCGAAGGGAGGCTCCGTCTTGGTTGTGAGTCCCCTTTGCCTGGGCCATTCCCAGGCAGGTGCCCCTCATTGAGGCGCCTTTCCTGTATTTGGGATCTAGAGTGATTGTCCAGTCACCCACAGAGTTTACCTGCTTCCTCCAAGTCTTACTGTCTTTGCTACTTCAATCTTGCCCCTTCTCTCCTGCCTATTCAGTCTGTTATATAATTTCCCGTCTTTTGTGGTGTTTTGGGGTTTTGTTTTGCAAAAAACAATGTGAAAAATAATTGAGGATTCTTTTTCAGAGTGAAGAAGTTTGGTAAATAGTCACAGCCCCTGAGGCGGGTAGAAATCCATTTGAACAGCACACAAGCAATTCAGACTGACATATAAGAAGGTCAGAAGACAGTTCTCCTGCCTACTCTGCCATGGACTATTTCCCCTCTGCAGTGTCTCTCTGCCATGGTGCCCTGCCTTGGAGCCAGCTGATAATAGATTGAAACCTCTGCAAACTGTGAGCCAGAATAAACCTTTCCTCTTTTTAACCTGGGGGTGTTGAGTATTTTGCCCCAGCAATAAAAAATAAGTAAGACAACCAGACCTCCAACTTCCACCTCAATGGCAGTTTGAATTAGAAATGTAAAATTTAGAACCAAAATTCTGGTTGCTCATTGTCCCTCCATGGACTCCCCAGCTCCGGGAGGAAGTACGATGTGCTGATTATCTTTGGCTTCTTCTGGAAGAGTCTGGAATCTTCTAGATTATCCAAACAAGAGGCTTCTCTGATCCATCCCTGGACTGTGATTGATGTCAGCTTGGTCTTTGTGCTGAAATAGCTCACCTTCCCCAGGCCCAGAGATCCGGAAGGTGGGGAGAGAGACCCTGTCAGCCTTCATGGGGCCATTTTTCTAGATGAGAATATTGACACATTAAGTCACTAGCAGCTACAGTTTCAGTCAACTTACAAATCCACCGTCATCTCTTTTTTTTTGGTACTGGGGATCGAACTCAGGACCTTGTGTTTGTGAGGCAGGTGGCGGCACCACTGAGCTAGATCCCCAGCCCACCGACCCCTTTATTCTTAACTGCAGTCCTGAGCCCTCATTTCCAGTTGTGGTTCACAGACATTTTGCACCTCACTCCAAAACTCACTCAGGAAGCTTTAGGTTAGACCCAGCTTCCTGCTTTATAAGAAAGACTGACTTACGGTGATTATGCCTGGGGACTAGAGTACCTTGGGAGAAGATGGAGTGTGTTGTGTGCACTCACACTTTTGCTTTTTCCCTTACTTCACATCTGCACTTCTTACCACACTGCAAACATAACTAAACATCATGACCATGAAACCACATACTCAATCCCCAATCCCATTTCCTTATGTGTCACTAACATATCTGTCCCTAAATTTGGCTGATTGCACACAATTTAAGTCTTTGCCTCCTACTCTGTGCAAACCCATCCGGTAATGTGTCAATGGCAGGGTGCCACCCTGAAGTGCATATTTGTAAATGTGCCATCATACTGACAAATACCTGTGACCCTAAATTTGAAGATGGATAGTTAATTATTCAGGGGGAGAAATTCCTCCAGAAGCAGTGGCACAGGGGACAGGAAGATCTCCCAGGTGGGCTCAGGTCATAAGCACTGTGGATATGAACTAGGATGAACACATAGCAATAATTCTCTTCCATTTCTGAATATGCAGCCTGTTCCATTTGATACCTCCTTGTTCCACATTCACTTTGTTGTAACTAAATCCTGACAAACAGTAGAAATACAACTTTTAGGGAGAAATGGAAATTTATGCCTAGTGGGTATTCACTGGGGACAAAAATCAGCATTTAATTTGCAGTGTCATTTGGACCCAATTGGCCTGAAATAAATAATCTCTACTGAATCTTGGCTCTGAGACAATGGTTTTCTGTACGGTCTGACTGAGCAGTGTCCCGGTACCTGGGACATCTCCCCAGGTCGCGTGTGTCTGTTTGTCATGCTAACTGGGGCTGTGTAGATGGTGGATGGGGTGGGAGAATCACAAGAGGAGGGCTCACAAGATGTGGGTAGCCCACATCCCCTAGATGGACAGCAGTGGTGCCGTCTGAACCCTGGGAGACACACATACCTTCTTGAGGCCAACGTCCTCGGGGCTCCAGGGTCCCGGAATGAGGGTGCATCTCAGCCCACTCCCAGAGCGTAGGATCGTAAGCTTGGATCTGGAGAGGAAAGCCGCCCGAGTGGATGAAGACCAGCAGTGACACTGCCCCCTTATCCAGCCCCCCTCCCTTCCTGGTCACCCATGCCCGGGCTCCCCTGACCCCGTGTGTCCCAGGCCAGCTTGGCCCTGCCAGCCCAGTCTCACCCACCTCCTCACACCCCTCTCGGGTCACCCTGAGGTTCCAGGCCATGCAACAGGTGAACTGGTAGCGCAGCTTGTGGAACTGAGGAATCTTGTCAAAATTTGTTCCCCTGATGAAGAACATGTGCAGTTTAGGTTCCTGGTGGTTCTCCATGTCACTGGCTAGGTAGCTGGGGAGGAAAGCAGGTTGCTGGTCAGGGGCACAGCCAGGAGGGAGCTGGGTCCCGGGTCTGCTCCCGGGAGGGAAGGACAGGTGGGCCCCCTCCAACTCAGGATGCCATCAGCCTGGCCCAGTGCTCTCCAGGATCAGGCCTTCGTGGAGAGGCCGAGGCTGCACAGGGGCCTTCTGAAGGCAACTCCCACATAGAGGAAGAAGGCAGGACCCCTGTGTAGTCTGGGGTGGCCTCTGGCCCCCGTCAGCAGATGAAGTTGACACCTCCATCTCCCTGCTCCATCCTCTCCTTTCCCTGCAGCTTGTCCTCTGAGTGCTCACCTGTCCCCGACCACATGGGGAGCACCTGGGCATGCGGACCTGGTATATTTCTGTGTCCTGCCCCCTCCTCCCCAATGGCCAGCATAGGGCTTGGCTCAGGACGTGCATGAATTCCACCAGCGAGCCCTACATGTCCCTTCCCATTGCTAAGATCCCTGGCAGAGGACCCACTGCAGAGGGTTTTATTGAGGAAATGAAGGAATAAATGCAGCTTCATCTGTAGACAAAGGCCATACAGAGTCCCTGGTGGACTCACTGCTGTAACAGAAACCACTCACTGAATGAGGATTGTGCCGATTGTTTTAAAAAAGGAAGATCCATCCCTCCGCAGTTGTCTCCTTGAAGGGGATTAGGTAAAAGGAGGGGCAGATGAGGAACTAGAATCCAAAATGTCCTGTCCTGAGGGACTTGAGGACAGTGCTGTTGGAATGTAGAAGGTGGGAGATCAGGGAAGGATGCACATAGTTTGGAGTTTATTTTGTTTGCAGTATGGAGGACTGAACCCAGAGTTCGTGATCTACATCCTCACTGCTTTTTAAAATTTCTCTTGGAAACAGACATGTTACTAAGTGGCCCAGGCCTGGTGTGGACTTGCCATTCTCCTACCTCAGTCTCCCAGCACACAGGGATTACAGTTGCCCTTGACCTTGAACACCTGGGATCCACCTTTGGCCTCAAATACTCCTCCCCCACAGCATGCTGAGTAGCTGGAAATACAAGTGTGCACCACCATGGCCATGGAGGTTTGGATATTCTGGCCAACTTGAAGATACAGACTTTATTCAGGTTCAATGTTTGAAGGCATGGACAGAAAACAGGAGATAAAGACAAGAGAAAAGGGTATTTGGAAGCAGCAATGAAAGAAAGGAAATATCAAGATGATGCACAGCCTGGGTTGTAGAGAGATTGTAGAGCGGGTGAGTTCAAAGGGAGAGCTCCAGCCTCGGTGTAGATGAAGAAATTAGCGATGCAGTAGCCACGAGGCAAGTGAGTTGCTGGCCCATCTCTGAAGGCTGATCAGGTAACACAGAGCCCGCTCCCTGGCTTGTGGAGAGACTTGTCAGAAAGACCAGCAGGGAGCACGTTACACTCAGTCTGTGCCTGTAAGGAAGGCACTCATGAGGCAAGGGGCTTGGGAACCCAGAGGAGGGGACAGAAAGACACCTGGTATTGCTAAGGAAGGAGACCCTCCGAGAGTCAGAAATGGCTGCCCCTAGATCACATCTGGGTTCTTCCCTCCTCTGCTGTCTAGGGGCTCTGTTCCCTTGGTGGCATCCTTTAACCAATATGAGGGTGGATTGGGGGTTTTACTAAGAGAAATAATCGGGACACTGTGTGTGATCCCCATGTTCTACAGAGTCAGCAACACGGACAGGTTTAAACCAGAGGATAGGTTGGACTCCCACTCCCCACCCTCAGGGGCTGACTGTGGCCTGTAGCGGGAGAGGCAGTATTCACAGCGCCAGGAAGCAGTGGATCCTCTCTTCTCCAGTCAAGACACAAATCACCAGTGGAGAAGAGCTCTGAGAAGCAGCTGTTGCCCGCTGGGCTGCCAACCTCCACAGGCTTTGAACCCTCCAATCAGGGAAGCCAAAAGCCTCTGAGGTCATCACATATATTGTCTGCATTTTGCTCATGTCCAGAGACTTTACCTGAGACTGAGATTAAGGGCGGCAGACTAAGAAAAAGACTAAGTGGAAAAATCTCTCCTTCAATCTCTACTTCAGACAGAATATGATCTTTTATGTGGAGGTGGGACAAGATGGGAGCATGATGCAGAAAGAGGGTCATCTTCCAAGGCCCTGCCATCCCCCTCACCCCTGCCATAGGGTTACAGGTCTATGCCACCACTCCCAATTGATTTGTACCGGCTCGGTTCGTTTGTTTGTTCTGTTTTTGAAATAGGGTCTCGCTGTAGAGTTCAGGTCAGCCTTGGCCCCACCATTTAGTCCAGAGCTGCCTCCAACTTGTGATTCTCCTGTCCTAGCCTCCTGAGGTCTGGGATTGTAGGTGTTCACCATCATGCCGATGTGGTTTGGACCGTTGTAAAGTGTAGAGCTAAGTGGCATGAAGGACAGACATACACCCTTCATGATGGGGATATGTTCTGAGAAAGATATTGTCAGTTTGTCACAGGGAAGTGACTCCCAACCTATTCAATGTCGGATGTCACAAGTTCCTGTCTCCCAATAACCAGAGAATGGATACGAGGACAAAGGAGGTTAAAAATAAAAGTTTACTGAGATGAAGCTGCTGAGAGACAGGCAGGGTCCTGAAAGTGGGTTGCCACGAAGGCCCTTTGTCTGGGGCTTTGCATACATGAAAATGACCACATCCCAGACCACCCTGGGCCAAGCTGGGGCCGACCTGTGGGCTTACGAGTGTAGTAGCTTAGCTGATATGGATCCGATAGGGAAGGGAGGCATGTATCGAGCGTATATGGCAGGCATTGCTAACTTCAGCTTATCTATAACTCCTAACATAGAAAGGCCAAAGGGATTTTGGGGAAGGGATAAGACTCTGGGTCAGGGTGTTCTGGTGGCCCACCTATGCATCTGACGCCTTCCGTAGGCTCACTGGACCAGGTGGTACTGGTTACAGTTCAATCTTAAGCTGCTGTCTACAGGGCGGGCTGCAGGCCTGGCTCTCTTCCTGTTCATCTCCAGCCACAATGTTGATGTGTCTCATTTCTGCATTGATGCCTTTAACGGCCTGGTCCCTCTCTGACTGTGTTAACTTTTATCTAACTTAGCTTTCTATAATAAGTTGATTTGGTCATTGTGCTGACGTCATGGAGTGAACCTGCCCAGGGACAGGCTATGATGTATGACACATGGTGCATGACATCACCTCCTAGAGCCACCCTTGTGTAAGTGGTCCCTGGTTGGTTAGCTGAGATGGCATAAGTGGCACACCACTATATCTTTGCCATGTTGTACAAGCATTGTCGCCATCCATCTCTGGAAGTTTTTCATCATCCTGAACAGACTCTGCCCCCATGAAACAATGACTCTCATGTCTCCTCTTGCAGCTCCTGGTGACCACCATTCTCCTTTGTGCCCCTATGCTTTGGGCTCCTCATGTGCCTCACAGTCCAGTGGACCCAGACTGTGTTTGTCTTCGTGTATCTCACTTCAGTGAGTGCAGTGTCTTCATGGTCTGTCACTGGTGAAGAATGTCTCCATTTCCTTCTTTCCAAGAGAGGAATAATAGCCCAGTGCATGGGTAGACTCCATATTTTTTTGTAGCCATTTGTCCTTCAAGGGACATTTGGGTGCCTTCTACACTTGGGCTCTAAATCTTGCTTTTGATTCATTGCTGTAACCTAGTAGTGAGAAGTCTGTCATTGTGTTGTGTTTAAAAGTTGTTTGTGGGGCAGGGATTTAGCTCAGTGGTTCCGCTGCCTGCCTCTCAAGTGCAAGGTTCCAAGTTCGATCCCTGGTACCAAAAAACATCAATAGCTTAGCTTTCTTTTCGGGTCAGGGATTTAGCTCAGTGGTTCCAGCGCCTGCCATGCAAGCGCAAGGTCCTGAGTTCAATCCCCGGTACCCAGCCCGCCCCCAAAAGTTGTTTGTACCCTCATCTCTTACTTATTTCTCACCTACTCACACCAAGCATGAGGTTTTCAGATCAGTGAACGCAACATAAAGAAAGCAAGTGTTCACTTTCCACACAGTCCTGGAGCTTCAGATTTGAGTGGACTCTCAGAGAGCTTCAAAGATCCTGTTAGTTACTGGGCACCTTCCTCCAGGTCCTGGGTCTCTCCAGAGTCCCTCATAGATAGGCAAGTTCCTGTGTGGCAGGAAGCAGGTCCCATTACTGTACAAGGCCAATGACCAGGAAACTCTGCTCATCTTGTTATAATTTTGTGTCCATGATACTTGCAATCATCAGAGCTGTTTGGATTATTTGACAAAATTGACATTCATACCCTGTGTCCCAATAAACAGGCTTTCAAATACAGTCATGTATGACAAGTCATGTCTCAATGCATAATAGACCGTCTTTAC